TTGACAGTGGATTTTTCACCGCATAACTATCATCGGCTGATGACGACATAGACGTTACTGGGCTTTAGTCCGGGCCAATTAACCCGCGAACCGCTCTCAAAAGTTTATTGCGTTTCGCAAGCGTAAAGCGTTAAGTTAGACGTCTCATAGACTGTCTACATTGGTCCAATCGACGTACTGAATTGTGTTAACGCAATGCGACCTTTCAAGTTAGCCGAGCTCAGCTCAGGAGTGATCGACGTATTATGGACTCGTAATAACTTAACGCAATAAGGGAAAGTCAAAATCAATTATAGTTTGAGTTGCGAGAGGCAAGATCGTATCTATTTCTTGTCGCATCACTAGCTATTACAAAATAATAACTATTATTTTCTCGGCCGGATTAGTTTAGAGGCGTACTGTTTAATAAAACACTATGGAAGAAAGACATTTCAATTTTAATTAACTATCGTTTTAATGTTTGATTTTAATTTATGTGAACGCGCTATACTTTTTACGAACGGCTCTTGCGACAGAGGGTGTGGATTCGATTCCCACAACTGGAAAAATATTGTGAGATTAAGATATTGGTTTTATAATATCTAGGTGTTTATATATCTAAATTATGTAGTATTTTACAAAAAAAGAGCATTTTAGGTACAATTACAAGTTATAACCTAATACTCATAGTACCAGTTTCTTTTTTAGTTTGGGATTAAATAACGTTGTGTAATAACATGTCCTGTATGTATTTATTTATTTATTCGTATGTGACATTAGCAGCGAACAAAGAATATTACTAATGAACATGAACCAAAGAAGTACGCATGTACATGGGTAAGTACATGGGAGAAACCATATTACTCCCATGTTTTTTTTATTACGACCAAACCACAATAAACTAAGGTCAAAAAACTATATAACTGATGCCGGTTGATTGTCCAATTCCCTTAAACGAATTCCGTATAACAAACCTAATTAAAAATATTAATACAAAAGAATTTAAAAAAATACCATTTAGATTATATATTGCGCAATTACGATCGAACGCAGTTGCGTGGCAACTGTCAAGTATGTCGTGTCATTTTGTCCGATTTAATTTGTAAATACGGAAAAGACCTTCTGCGTCTGTGTGAACCGGCTTTAATAAAATACAGTCAGTCAACTCGAGACCGCCTATTGCATGCAAACGATTAAGTACAGTTTGAACACACCATCTCAGTTCAAAAAGTGAACGAACATCAACGTATTGTAGGTTTTAAAGGGTTAAGCCAATGAAGTTTTAATAAAAATTACGCATGCCTATACGGCATTTTAAAAATGTAAGTGAATGTGACATGATATAGAATGTAAGATACGGAAAGAGATAGTCCATACTTACTTTATATATCCTTACTAATATTATAAAGGCGAAAGATTGTATGTATAGATGGATGTTTGTTACTCTTTCACGCAATTACTACTGAATGGATTTTCACCAGAATAACACATAGGCTAATTTATATACATGTTTTTTATAAATATCTATCTTTCTGTTTGAATGTTACGCCTTCAGCCTATTCTACGCAGACGTAGTCTCGGGCTTCAGCTAGTAGTCTATAGAATTGCAATATAATCACACCAATTGTCGAAACTTGTGTGCCTCAGTTTCGGTGGCTAGTGTCACTTGTGTAGAAGTACGTGGTACGTGGTACTTCTACATAATGGGATAATCACCAGTCGGCGATTACCGCACGGTTTAAAATTCATGTATAGGCGTCCGGCCGACGAGTTTTATACCGAATTCGGGGCACACGTTTCCCCAAACCCGCGTAAAGATGGCGCCCACGATTCTTGTCACGGACGACGACGCAACACCGAGCTGTCAGTTCCGTTGACGTGTCCCCGCGCTTATTCCAGACAGCTGCGCTGTTTACTGTTCGTCCTTCTTTTTTTTTCATATCCACGTTTTATTGTGGCCAGTGCTTCTTCAGTTATGTTTTTTTTAATCAGAAGAGAGTAGAGTAGTAAAGAGCAAGTGTAATGACAACAGTCATGCAGCCAGTATACTTTATGTTTCTTTTATTATTTATGACGTATTATTAAAAAAAAAAACACTAAACAGACAATGACGTTGACGCTAGGACCTCTATAGTTCTAACCTGGCAAACATTGGAATGTTTTGGCTTCCGACAATTTTGCAGTAAGCGTGTTTGCCTTTGTTTAGTTTTTTTGCAATTCAAATTACAATTTATTGTATCATATTTAGCACTAAAAATAAAAATTTTCCTAAAAACACAGAACACTGCAATAGCAATCGCATTACTGGTAGAAGCAAATCAAAGTACATGACAAATAACGAAACGGACGAACGAAATCTTGTCAATGCCGCACCTGTTACGCCCATAAACGCAAAGCGATTAGGTATACCAAGTCTTCTTGGTCAGCCAACTCTCCTGCCACCCTTTGCCAACGCGTAATTTACAGTTAACTTAAGTGACCATTTGAAGCCGCGGTTATAAAGGCACCTTTTTGCCAGTATCCGGACACTCAGGACCCCAAAAGGCGTGGAACGGGTTATTAAGTTAATCGATGCAAACTAAGCGATACGTAATATTTTAGCGTACGAAAAACTAATTACCCGAAAACCTAGAGTATAAAGCTTTATACAGCCCACAGGATGGCGAGAAAATAACTCGATAAAGCTAAATAGTATTTCCCTAACGCTAACTTGACTAATACGATTTTACCCGGACAGGTTGTTTATGAAATTAGCGCGTCCAAGCATACAAACTATGTAACGTTATAATGTTAGCATAAACTTTTTCACCTACACGAGTCGAGTATTGCGCAATTTTCTACAAATTTTCTCAGACGATTAAAAATCATCATAGCGAGCTTTATTCGATAAGCAAATCGGTTGATGCCGATATAAATGCGTCTACGAACTTCCATCGCACGGGTAATTGTGTAAGCGTCGTGCAGCGTGCACTTAGCGACGCGTCGCGTCGCGGGCCTTTCCATCTGCAGCTGGTGTTAGCGACGCGTCGCTGGCGCCGTAAGATCTTACAAATCGTATCTCGTATGCACATGGCCCAATTGAACAGAGCCTTCCTATATATAAACTTATGAATGGAAGAAGTGAGGCCATATTAGTGCACTAAACACAACTTCATTTTCTTCATCTTTAATTTCTTAGGTATCCAGTTTCCCCGCAAAGTCTGGAATGGATGACCCCGCGGCACTGTTGCCAAGGTATTATTGACATTGAACTCTTTGTACATGTCTTTCTCTGTTGCCGTGTATATGATGAATCAGCGGATAAGTCTGCATCAATTTACTTTTCATCGGCATCTGAGCAATTTGCTCGTGTCAGTGTAATAAAGATGGCTGCATAACTCGATTCTTTATAAAATGATCAAGCACTCTGGCTCAATTGTAAGTAAACTGGCTCACAAAAAGAAGTATTGCATTCACTAATGCCGGATTTCCTCCGTCCTTTCCACAACTATTTTTTTGCTGCACATCAACGATCTGCTCATGCCCGGTATATATGGGTACGCGGATGACAGCACAGTTATGGAGAGATACCAACCGAGTCTTAGAGTCAGTAGAGATCACATCCAGTCCGAAAGAGAGGCCACGGTAGAGCCTCTGACTCTTACACTACAGGCGGTCTCTGAATGGGGCGATGCCAATCTTGTGAGATTCAACGCCTCCAAAACGCTGGCGTGTCTTTTTTACTCAAAAGGAGCCCCTTCACCTTGGCTTCTACTTTCCAGAATGTGTCCTTGGAGTATACCGACCGCCTTCAGTTGTTGGGAGTCGAAATATCCTCAAACCTCAACTACAAGCGGTTCATTGAGTCTAAAGCCAGGGCAGCTGCAAGGAAGTTAGGCATCCTTGCAAAGGTGCGACGGTACTTCTCACCGGGACAGCTCCTTACTCTTTACAAAGCTCAAGTCCAGTCGTGCGTGGAGTACTGCTGCCATATCTGGGCTGGAGCTGCAAAATGCCACCTGGCTGCCCTTGACTCAATGGAAAGGCGTGCGGAAAGGCTCATTGGTGACCGTGATTTGGTTAAAACCAATCTCACCAGCCTCGAGCACAGGCGCAGAGTAGCCAGCCTCTCAGTTTTCTACAGGATGCATTTTGGAGAGTGTGAGTTGGAGCTGCACCATTAGATTCCTCCCGCCCCTTTCCATCATCGGACAACTAGACGTTCGGCGGGGCTTCACCCTTTTGCTGTCGACGTTCCACGCACAAGAACAAAGAGATTCGCATGGTCATTTATCATCCGTACGGCTAAGGAATGGAACAACCTGCCGGCGTCGGTCTTCCCATCCGACTATAACGTAGGCGTCTTCAAGGCAAGACTGAATAGGCTTTTACTGAGCTAGCGCGCTTACCATCCACGGCTGCATCGCCACTTACCATCAGGTGGGATGGCAGTCAAGCGCTAGTCAGTTCCATATAAAAAAAAAGTATTGATAGTTTTGTTTCCTCTACTAGTACATGTGGTGGTTTTATAATGAGACACAGTTACAGCTACTTTTGCAACCCTAAATAAGATTGGCAACCAAAGTAGAGCCATGCAGCAGCCTCGGCTGTTGCACGAATGGGCAGGCTCGTCCGTTCAAGTACCACGCCCTCACCCAACGCACAAGACCGGCGTGAAGTGGAAGAATAAATACTTATGCATTTCATCTGGTGAGTGTGGTAGCCAGAGCCCAATCTTCAAAAGGCTGTCAACGCATCTGGAACCGTCGGGTATAGCAAATATGAACCGCCTGCTCACTTGACAACTTCTCACATAAAAAAAACTTTTCACATAAAAAAAACTCAACATCAGACAAACCGCACGCACGCTTGGGCCTTCTCGATTGAAAAAAGCTGCACTAGCGCTACCGATATCAACAGTCATGCGCAATTAAATATTTCATCGATGCTGTATTAGCGTACACCTCTAACAAATAGGACGCCGACGTATTAGAAATCGGGCGTTTGAGCCATTAATATTAGCAATTACGCCTGTCGCGCCAATGAGTTGTGCTATGGCCATAATTGCCGTTGGAGGTGCCGTCTTGAGCATTACAAATCCTCCAGCTATGCTCATTGCGCAAATGCTCCAACAGGCCTCGGTTGAGATTTCGCACGGACAATTAAAGATGGCCGTACGAAATAATTAGCTGTTGCTGATGTACGTGTCTTCGAATGTGCGTCTATATATAGCATGACTCTAAGTAGAAGTTAGTTAAGTTTTTGTTTTTATAAACATTGCCCTTTACATTTACCTGTTTTATAGGGACGTGTTACAAACATAAATTTCACGTGGACAACCCAGATCTAAAACAATGTGGGTCACACAAATAGTTGGGAATCGAACCCACGACCCCTTACGCCGATGCCAATACATTGACAATCGCGCCTCGGAGCTTTTTCCGATAAATTATTTACGTCAAAACAACCAACCAACCAACCACTTAACAAGACCAGTTCAGGGATGAACTGGTCTTGTCGTGCATTGCAAAATCAGAGCTAAATTTGTGCTCGTTTTTTAAATAACATCCATAACAGTTACGGGATAAAAGTAATATATGATTTGTTCAAAGAAGAGACTGCGCTTTTTCCAAGTTACATTAAAATGATAGTTCCACTACCACATCTACAAAATTCCGCAATTAAAATATCATTGCGACAATTATATTTAATGGTTTTTAAATAGTATAAAAATGCTTTATTTGAATGAAAGACTTGAAATTATTTAGTTTTAGTTTTAAGCAACATTAATTCTTAGTGACGCTTGGCCATAATTTATCAAAGTGAACGAAATGAAACATTTGTACATCGAGCCAGAAGAAAAAGCGGAAAAGCTGACACATTTGCCATACAACCGTAAAATATATACGACGCGATTAATGACTTACTAAATTTACGCCATTAATGGTGCAAAACACGAATGGTTCGGCGATTAAATTACTATTTAACAACGTGATTAATTTTTAAAATGGCTTTATTATATACGGAGTATTTGCGTAACCTGAACCGTTCGTTGATTTAATGACTACGAGTTTAAGCTATTTGTGTCTTTTTTACGTAAAAAATATCGGGCAGCATCAAACTTACTTGTCACGACACATTGACAGGATATTATTAAATATGATCTAGGTTATATCGGGCGTGAATGTCAGAGAGTGTAAGACTTCATGCCTTAGGAATCAAATAAAAAAAAATTTCACTGCACGCCGCTGGGATTTGAACCCTAAAAACAAGATCAGGCTAGACGTGTAAGTCACTAGAACGTGTATTATTATTTGATACGTCCCTTTCGCCACTGTGGTGGCGGCACAGGCTGTGATGTGTCAAAACAGACAACTGTGACGGATCGGAGGTTTGGGAAACTTAGCTAGTGGTACGGCGGATTGCACTCCAGTTGCCTAGTTTAAGGCGAGAGACCAGTGCGAGAGATGCTTTACAGATGCTCGCGTAATGTGAAAATGTGTAAAAGAAACGAAAAAAAAAATCCATGGAACTTTTGGCACTTCGTATCGAGTTCTTCTTTTAAGGCGCTAACGACAACTAAAAATCGTAAATAAATTAATAATTTATTGTGACATTACATACTTTTCACTTCTCACAAGACTGCGCAGGTCAATATGAACTATACACATGTAGACTAACCAGCTTATTTTTATATACGGATTTATTTACACGGCGAGAGTTGTGGGTGATGTATTTTATTTTGCGACAAATGATCGTAAAGAATGGTGTAAGCACGAATAATTTAAACGAGACGAAATGGACGCTATTTGTGACTCAGAATTTTGACTGGTTGAATGATTTTAATCATTGAACATTGACGACATTCTATTCAAACTATATTACAATATATTAAAGAGTTAAAATTCTATAACTCTTAATCTATAAACCGTAGTAACGATCGTTCGTTACTATTCACCAGTGGAGTCAGACGTTGCTCCGCTCGAAAGGCGACACCGCGCCCTTCTAAGAATTGCGCAAGCGCCGGCGAAATATAACGAGCGCCTAGCATTCGCCTCGCTGTGGGTGGGCGAGCGGCTGCGAGAAATGCGACCCAACGCAATCGGCAAGGTCGGCCCGCGGCATTTGCGTCCGGCCTCGCCTACGATTAGGAGAGCGTTCGCGGGTGCAAAAAACTAAGAGTCTGTTCATGAACTCCTGGTACTACATTCTAACGCCAGTCCCAATTCGCTGGAATTACTCGATTCTGTACAACCTGTAATTGCTCAGGAATGTCCGCTCGGGCACACTTTTTTTGACATTTGTGACGAGTGTAATTTAGATTTTACAACATTTTTTATTATCAGCTGGCCAGTACCTACTGACGGATACTAAATGTAGAACGCTCAGTTAAAGGTTGGTTCGAATAGGTATCATGCTTAATTCGAAGCGTAAGATAAACGCCGAAAGACTATTCCATTCCTTTCGACCTAGAATGCCGATTGTAAGCCAGAATATCTCGTATCGTAAATTTAATTCTTTAATTATGTATGTATATTAGTATCAATGTAAGTATATCACGATATTTAAGATGTTAATTATAAACGATGTTTTGTAAATCACTCTAATATGATACTTTATCTTTTATAATTAGATATTTAGAAAATAATATAAAAAGATGCAATAAATAAAACAGTTTTGTTGTTGATGAACATGCGTGTATGTCTTATGAATATCTTGTCATGACTTCAGACCAACGTCTGCAAAGTTAGGAGCGTCTTCATTGCGTAGGTTAACACGGGGAATACCCCAAACGGCCGCATTCCCAGGTCGGGTAGGTTCGTGATACGAACCGTGGGGAATGTAACTGTAGCTTTGTCGAGTATCAAATTCCGAGCAGCTCTGTGTACACAAATGCAAAGCTACCCATTATTAGTAGGTACGTGTAACGACTTATCACGTGCTCTGCGGCGAAGGAAATCCAGCATGTTTTCGAAATAATAACAAAACATATAGTAATTCGGCGTGGCGAAATTGACTTAGATATTCTATTAACATAACATGATCGGATGCGATGTTCCATAAATAGCATTCAGCCGCCGCGGTGTGGCTCAAGCCTTAAAGTCACTTCACTGGCTTCGGCTGCGCGTGAGAGCAAAAACCGCTTAGAATGTGCAATGGCTGAAACGACTTTATAGCGGGCGGGAATCCAATCACATCTTGTTTGATTACGAGCTTCATTGGAATATTCTGGATTGTCAGAAAACTCCCCTTATACCCACGTGGGTTTCAGCAAATGTAAGAAGACCGTTACATATCTGGTCTCAACAAACAGCCGGTACATACACACCTCGGTTTCATATACAAATTACGAAGATATTAAATGAAACTAGTTTACGGATTACTTTTATCACTGGATTAGTTTATTGGCTAACTTGTTTTTTAATGGATTAGCTCACGGGACAGAATGTCTGTCCCTTGAGCCTGGAAAGGCTTCGAAACGTGAATTTAAAAAATCAAAATTAAACTAGTTTCATTTTTTTTTTAAACATTGCCCTTACTTTAAGATAACATAATCCTGTGTTGTAAGGACGTTTTACAAACATAGATTTCACGTGGACAAACACCCAGATGCGAAACACCATCTGTGGGTCACACAAATAGTTGTCCCGTGTGGGAATCGAACCCACGACAGCTCTTCGACGAACCCTTGGCAACTGCGCCACGGAGTCCTCTAAATATATGTATCATATGTATAATATTCACGTAAAGTCAAGATATCAATGAATTACGAAGATATTACATAAACGAGACAGTAGACAAAAGAAGACCGTTTCTTACTGGTCTCGACGAGCACTCGATTTTCGTCAATCAGTTCGACCGTATGCCAGACTAAGCCAACGACAATGTACAAACTTTAAACTTTATTCACAGCCGCCGCAAAGTTTATCGCGACCCGCCTGGCATTTCCAAATGCCAACCGGAGTCGGCTTCGTAAGCCGGCGCCATACCTGAAACAAATAATAAAATTGAACAATTAATTGGCGTGCCATTGAATGTGCGATTCGGAGCACGCGATGTGAATGTGTTGAAACTTGCAGTGTTGGCGTAATTTTCCACAGCGAATCGTTCCATTTTTACCCGACTGCGCCAGAAGGAGGGTTATGGTTTTCGAGAGTATGTAGCTTATCCTTTAAACGAGCAATTCTTGTATATATATATATAATCGAAATCTCGGAAACGGCTCCAGCGATTTTCATGAAATTTAGTATGTAGATTCGGGGGTGAAAAATCGATCTAACTAGGTTTCATTTTTAGAAAATATCCTTTTATCCCTGTTTTCAGGGAATGAAAAATATGATTCGAATATGACAGTAAATTTCGCCGCAAACAAAAATGTTACAATAGCTCGGTTGGTAATCGGGCGGCCCCAAAACTCACTTATTTTTTTACTGTTTTTTCTATACCAGATCATTTTATTTTTTATTTCCAAAATACATGATTTACAAAAAAAACAGCAAAGCTCGGTCCTCCAGGTACTGTATAATTATTTGGCAAGCTCTGCAGCCTTGACGGCTTGATTTTAGCTTGGGAGATATCGTTTGATTCGTATTTACTGCGAGAGTGACACTGGGTATATCAAAATAAAAAATTACACAGAAACGCAGTCGGGTTTTTTAAATTATATTCTACTTGTTTTTTTTTAATAATAATGAAATGTTTAAGGTGACGTATTTCTTTTTTGAAAAAAAAAATAGAAGATCGGATCATACAAATTTTTTTCTTAATGATCTATCTATCTTTTATTGATAACTTTTTTTAAAAACACTATGTGAGATAAGAATTCATTCTGTTTCATACGGTTGTGATAGTTTTTTGTGTTGAAAAGCTTTTATTATCGTAACATCTGACGTAAATCTATTGATTTATCCAACTGTAAGGTATCTGTCATTTTAATGTATTGGTCAGTCCGCCATTAAACGTCAAACATCATAGACCTCTTTCATTTACCTACTATATACCACATTGGCGACGAGGAAAATTTTGGTAATTACGTGTGTGTATTGTCTAGACCACCGGCTTAGCAATGTCTATTGGGAAGATAGCGGAGTTTAAAGTGCACACTGACAATTGGAGATTGTATGTGGAGAGGCTTGAGCAATACTTTGCGGTAAACAAAATCGCCAGCGAGCTTCATGTGCCTACATTAATCACGGTCATGGGAGCAGAATGTTATGAGCTACTGGTGAGTTTATGTACCCCGGAAAAACCCACGTCGAAAACATTTTTGGAGTTAACGAAAATTCTAGAAAACTACCTTCAACCCAAGCCTAGTGAACTTGCCGAAAGATTTAAATTTCGACAAAGGAAACAGAGGGACGGCGAATCAATTTCAGAGTATGTGGCGGACCTAAAAAAGATGTCGAAGACTTGCGAATTCGGTAGCTGGTTGCAAGAAAGTTTGCGTGATCAATTTGTATGCGGTATCAGTAGTGAAACGATTCGGCAACGTTTATTTGCAGATGGCAAACTAGATTTTGGCCAAGCATATCGTTTAGCAGTAAATATGGAGGCGGCGGAGAAGGACGCAGCAAGTGTTGAGGTTATTTCAAGGGCACCGGGAGACGCGAGCGCATCTACAAGCAGCTGTCACGCGGTTTTTAGTGCGAAGCGAACGGAGCGAGCGATCGGTTGTGACGGCGAGCGGCGCGCGGGCGCTGGCTGGCTACGCGGCAAAGGACAACGGGCGGCGGCGGCGGTGCCACCGGTACACAACGTGCCACGTGGATCCACTTCGATGCCGGATGACCGACGGCAACAACGGCGAGTGTGTCGAGCGTGCGGCAGGGCACACGATGTAGTGGCATGCAAGTTTGCTCGCTACATATGTCGAGTGTGTAATAAGCAAGGTCATTTACAACGGATGTGTCCGTATCTGGCGGGACAGCATAGTGTCAACATAATACGCGATGACGACACGATACGACATGACGAGGTTGTAAGCAGTGACGAAAGTGACGAGGTAATCGTCAACATTAATCAGTTAAGCGTTAGGCAATACAAACCATTATTTATATCATTAATAGTGCATGGAAAGGAAGTAAAAATGGAATGTGATACAGGCAGTGCAGTTTCATGTATTAGCTATGAGTTATACAAACAGAAATTCAGTTCCTTGAATATTAAAAGCTGCCCTTTGTTGCTACGGTATTATACGGGTGAACAAGTAAAACCCCTAGGAGTTATTAAGCCCTTAGTAAGGTATAAAGATAAAGAAAAATATCTAGATTTGTATGTTATTAAAAATGGTAAAAGTATATTGTTAGGCAGACAATGGTTAGCAGAACTCAGAATACAAGTGCCCACTTTCGAAAGTATGAATTGTTTATCGAATGATGTTTTTAATTTGAACGATTTCAGTTCCAGATATTGTAAAGTGTTCGCGGACGGCCTGGGGCGGTTCACCGGTTCGCCAGTGAGCATACGCGTGCGCGAGGGAGCTGAGCCCGTGTTCCTGCGCGCGCGGCCGCTGGCCTATGCTCTGCGCGCACCCGTGGAGCGCGCGCTCGAACAGCTGGTGGCGGATGGTATCCTCACGCCCGTCGATCGTTCCGATTGGGCGACGCCAATCGTGCCCGTAGTAAAGAAAGACGGTAACATTAGGATTTGCGCTGATTATAAACTAACACTAAACAAAGTAATAGAAGTAGACCGTTATCCATTGCCTAGAGTGNTGCTTGATGAATCAGCAAAATATACGGTTATCAATGCACATAAGGGCTTATTTAGATATAACCGGTTAGTGTACGGCTTATCCTCAAGTCCAGGGATTTTTCAAAAACATTTGGAGCAATTATTTAATTTTCCCTACGTAGGCGTGTTTTTGGACGATATCATTATTACGGGACGCGACACAGAGGAACATATTACTAATTTGCATAAGGTATTTAGTCGTTTGCAGTCGTACGGACTTAGAGTTAAAAAAGAAAAATGTGTTTTCTTCGCCGAGTCAGTCAATTACTTAGGCTACGTAATTAGTAAGGATGGCATTCGCACATGCCCGGATAAGGTTAAGGCAATCATAGACACTCCTATTCCCACGAACGTGTCAGATTTAAGAGCTTATATTGGAACGACAATGTATTATGCGAAATTCATAAAAAAATATCAGTACTATTCTCGCGCCATTGTACAATTTATTACGATCGGGAGTAAAGTTCGAGTGGAACAATGCGTGTGATCATGCCTTTAAAGAGATAAAGCGTTTATTAATTTCGAGTGACGTTCTTATGCATTACTCGAGCGAACTACCGGTTGTACTGACATGCGACGCAAGCAGCGTTGGTATAGGCGCCGTCATCTCGCACCTGACACCGAAAGGCGAGCGGCCAGTCGCGTACGCGTCGCGCTCACTCACGGCTGCGGAGCGCGCTTACTCGCAGATCGACCGGGAGGCCCTGGCTATAGTGTTCGGTATAAGAAAATACCATCAATATTTATATGGCAGGAAATTCATATTACGTACAGACCATAAGCCGTTAACACATATTTTTGGTAGAAAAACGGGAATACCGGTTATGGCCGCTTCTCGTATTCAACGATGGGCCGTACTGTTAGCGGGCTATGACTACGATATAGAGTACGTCACATCCAATAAAAATTGTGCCGATGGCTTATCAAGGTTGCCGCTTGCTAATAATAAAGAAAAAACAATTAGTGAAATTACTTACGTTAACTTTGTGGAAAACTTTTTACCTGTTACTAATGAAGACATTAAGAAAGCAACTTCAAAGGATATCATTCTTAGTAGAATTGTCACTTATATTCAATCGGGTTGGCCGTCATTGTGTCCCAATGATGAAATAAAATCTTATTTTACTAGGCGTAACGAATTGTATTTGGATAGCGGATCGATCATGTGGGGTTATAGAATGGTAGTACCTTCATCTTTACGTCCTATTATTTTAAAACAATTGCACAGCAGCCACATGGGTATAGTGAAAACCAAGGGCTTAGCACGCAGTTACGTATGGTGGCCGAACATCGATGCAGACGTAGAAGCGATATGCCGAAACTGCGAAACTTGCGCCGCCGAAGCGGACGCACCACCACGTGCGCACCCACAACCCTGGCCATACCTACCTCCCTGGTCTAGACTACACGTAGATTTCTTGGGACCTTATAAGAGTAAAACCTTTTTAGTTTTAATAGATTCTGGTTCTAAATGGCTCGAGATAACGGAATTATCGCGGACGAATGCGACGTCTGTAATTAAAGTACTTAGATCAATATTCGCAAGGTTCGGTCTGCCCATCGAACTAGTGTCCGATCAAGGGCCGCCTTTCACAAGTATAGAATTTAAATCTTTCTTGAAAAATAATGGAATTCAGCAGAGGTTCTCCGGCATATCACCCAGCTTCGAATGGTGCCGCTGAAAATGCGGTTAAACTGTGTAAAAGGGCAATTAAAAAAGCATATAGGGACAACGTCGATGTTGACACCGCATTACAAACGTTCTTACTGGGCTATCGGAACAGTAAACATAGCACAACGGGTGAGAGTCCAGCTATGCTGTTGCAAAGGCGATCTTTGCGTTCACGTTTGGATTTATTGCGGGGTGAGTGTGCGGTGCAGAAACGTGTGCTCGACAGTCAGCAGCGGCAGGTTGAGTATGCCGGGGGAGTTCCGCGTGAATTTGCCCTTGGCGATAAGGTTTGGGCGAGAGACTTCGGCAGTAATGATAAATGGGTAAAGGGCGTCATAGAACAAAAAGAGGGCTCGCGAAGATACATTCTCGGCAACGGTGACGGTCAACGTATTAAAAGACATATAGATCAAATAAGACGTAGGTCGCGCCTATCCGATGTTACCTGTCCGGATGTAGCTAATGATGTAGAAAGGGCTTCAAACGGGCCTGAGGATGAGTTCGCAGATGCGTGTTCCGATTTGCAAACTGAAGGGGTAGCTTCTGCAACGGAGAGAAACAAGGAAGCTGAGGAAGCGGAGGGCAGCGATGATACGCCAGGAGATACTCCGGTTGTCAGCGATGCGGTATCAGAAGCTCCCACTCCTCCACATTTATCACCACCGGTGACCCGTCCCAAGCGAATCCGTAGACCCGTTATTCGTTATAATTAATTATTATACCTTTTTTTTTTTTTTTTTTTTTTTTTTGCTTAAAAAAACATTTGTTAAGCGTACGTTTATATTATATTTTAGTTTATATACAATATACATGTATTTTATTTTTTATTTTATATAAGTTTGGTATTAAGGCTGGAGGTGTAAGGTATCTGTCATTTTAATGTATTGGTCAGTCCGCCATTAAACGTCAAACATCATAGACCTCTTTCATTTACCTACTATATACCACACCAACCTTGATATAATGCCTGTAGGACGTTAATTTTCTTTTGATCTGTATAATGGGTCCGTACCCATTACGCTATAAAGAGAAAGAGACTATTTTTAACTTCAATTCTCTTATAGTGAAAATTATTTTAAGGTTGTGTTTTTTATTTAGGTTATTGTTATTCTTTTTTGTGGAAAAAAATGCCGCGCTGCTATAGGTCTCTACAGCCACCGAAAAATAAATGCGGCAACCCATAACCCCCAAGCACTGCAACAAACATCTTCACAGATGTGGCCAGTGATAATTAATTTAACTTCCAAATGCTGTTAGTCACAAATAACAAAATCTATCTTAATAAAACACAATCAAAAGTTAAATTCCCTTTTGCATTTTTAAATTAAACGCCATATAATTGATAACGTGAAGAAATAAATTAATAAAGTGCAGTCTTCGCGTGAATACATGAAGTATGTTAGTAACCAGTGTTATGTTAAATTAAATGAATTGGATTCGCGATGATTAAAATTTCCTATGGCCTCAATAAAAGAGTTGACTTTAATTTATTCGTTATAATAATAAAGACTCGACATAGAACTAGTTCAGTGCTAACGCTGAAATACATTATCGCTTTGAGAAAGAACGAACGAAATAAAAAGAATTAGAATAATTGTTACGCTCCAGAAGATCTATTGGAACATTTGTGTTAATGGTTGGAACATAGACGTAGCGGTTGTCATTTCCTCTCTCCATCTGAGGATACGGGAGCGAATACCTGTGAAAGGCATCGGTAACTTGGCATTTTTATGAACTGGCCAGTTAGATCTAAAATATATATATTAGGCCAGGAATTCCAAATTCAAATCTATTTCAAATTGAGGCTTTTGTATTAATGTTTTCGACTTACTGATTCATTGGTGTTCACGCGTTTGGACGAAAAAAAAATTCAATTCCGATGGGGTAGTAGATAGATTAGATGGGCCTTCAAAGATGTTGGTGACTTTTCAGGAATGGAATCGATGCCGCTTATAAATCAGAGAAAGTGCTGTATTCATCATTATTATCTATAATGATGAATACTTTACTGACTTTTCATTTAATTTTTTTTTATAAAACGCCAATTTCATATGTAAAGACCTAGTTTAATGCTAATTAGGGACTAATAGGTATAGCCACTTTAACTACAAGCACTAGATGCACTCGTTAAAAAGGTTGCTAATCTAATCATAAATAAAAATATATAAATAAATAAAATATACAATTTCAAAAATATAATATATCTTATCCTTTAAACGAGCAATTCTTGTAGGTATATAGATATAGGTCCTCCAGGTACTGATAATTTATATCTGCTTCGTTTGCATTTGAGTGCATTTAAAGCAGTATTTTAGTTATATGAATGTCAAAGAAAATGGTCTAAATATTGTGGAATAAAGACATTGACGTAATGAATTCGCTAATTATTTAAATTCAGGGTTATATACCTTATCAGTAAGGCAAACATCTCTTCTGAATCTTTTCATGAAAAGAGTCAGCACCCTGACTCACTACATATAGCGCTATGTCCTTAAAATTAAATTAAAACCTTAAATTCTATAATTAATCGTAGCTATATTTGATCTGGGTACGTAATTAATCGATACTCACTCAACTAAACAAACAGGTCAGAGAGCAATTGTTCGCTTCCATGTCTAGAATTACCATAAAATTATCCCGTGCCCTAAATATCCATTGAACTTACTGTATACATTAAATATTGAAGGCGATTGGGATCAGATAAGTCTATGACTAAACAAGTAAACAAGGCTGACTTAACAATTATAAAATATTTCGATTTATAATTTTTAAAACCTTTAACATTCTAGAAAAATGTCTTAGAATTCCACAAAAGATAATATTCAAAATTATAAAAATTTATTAGACGAATAGACTGGAATAAGTTCCCTTACCCAAACAACGTTGGTATAATTAAATCATTGTTTTTTTTTGTTTTATGTGAAAAACGAGCGGACGATGTTAAGTGAATACCGCAGCCCATGGACATCTGCTACACCCGAGGGTTTGCAGATGCGTGGACAACCTTTTTGGAAATTGGGCTCCGGCCACCTCACTCACCAGACGAAACGCGAAAGTATTATACTTCCACTTGACACCGGTCTTCTGTGAGGTCGTGGTACTTACCCGGACAACAGCCAAGGCTGCTGCGTGGCTCTACCACCGGACAAATATTAACCAATCATTGTATTGTATTCTATATTATTATATTAACCAATCATTTAAAATTTAAAACATTTAAACGTTTAAAAATAGGTAACTAAGCATTATTTTTAAAATCAAGTACCTTATGCAGAATGCGTGATAATTTTCAACAGATTAAAAAAAAAACAAACGGGCTTTGATTTACGCGCGTAATGCGTCGGATTACACGGGTTTGTGGCGCGAAAAGCACGCGTCAAAGTGCAAAGAAAACATTTATCGGTTAGCGTTGAAATGCCAGGTGCGAGCGGAGAGCGCTCATTGCTTTGGCATTTTTAAATACAGATTTGCTTATTAATAAAGCTATTTACATAATAACAATCCTACACGCGCGTAAAGGTTACATTAGGCTCCTTGTAAGCGCGTTATCCCCTTTATGGTCGCAAATTAACATTCTCATAATGTAATGACTTTAACAAGGTACGCACAAATATGTCCGACCTTTTCACATTATCATGTCGGCGGGAAAAATCTTTTAACATGTTAATTTATCATATGTACCTAATAAGGGTAAATTAATTTATATAAATATTTAATTAACATTTGTGGCGCAAGTGAATTCATATCAAGAGCAAAATGTTGGATTATGCAAAGCTTGGTGGCACACGATAATAAAGTAGAGAATGGAAGCTAAAGACTAGAAAACAACGTTAGTAGAAGCGAATACAGACACTTATCAGTCACTAAATCTATATCTAAACTATTATTATTTAGAGGAAAGATTTGTTTTAATATTTGTTATGATTTAACTCAAAAACTACTCGACCAATTTTAAAAATTCTTTCACCATTAGATGGTTTCATCTTTACCGAGTAAACAGACTATAATATATTTTCAAAAAATAGATCCCTACCTAAAATGTTACAACGTAAGTCCAGTTATCAAAATGTTACCTATAAGACATTATTTTGCGGGCGCTGAAAAAACTAACGCAACGGAGTTATCAATTATTACACAATCCCAGCGTATTGCAGTGAAAAAATTTTCGATAAATAGATAGTCGTAATAGTAAATAGGTAGACATAAGTGAAAATTGTAAGCAAAAAAATTTTGCGTATTAATGACCCAGGTAATATAATATTGTACTATATAGACTTTGTAAATCCACCGGTCCAAAACGACAGTGTGTTAACCTGAAAACGACAAAATAAACGTGAAACTTTACGATCGCATTTCCTCAGGTACACCATTCAAACTGTTCAAGCAAACACGTTATAATATCGCTTTATTTATATGTCACTGGATAATTACCGGATTTGCCTTTAATTACGCACCCTATAAGTAATCGCCTTAAGTTATTGAATACGTTTCTATAAAACACTATACTGTTGTTTCTTGTTCACCGAATTGGTTGATTTTTGTGGTAACTCATCTCCTACACTTTTAAGGTCGTCATCGTAATCCATTGACTTGTTTCGGAGTTTTATTTGAGACAAACGGACAGATGAACGAAAATTTTATAGAGATAATGTATGGTTAGATATAAAGGTAGCAGCTTTAACTAAAATTTTCATATTTATATTTAAATACATCCACAAACATCATATTTATTATTTGCATAGATAGATTAATACGGGTAAAAAACAGCAACCATATAGAAGGGCAAACATTTTAACATGACACTACCATGAAACGAGTCTTAATTTTAAGCAACGTTAGGTACTTTTTAATATTATCACTCAACGTTTCATATAAAAGTTCTTTTTTATAAACAAAAGGATTTAATTTTCTATAACTTTTTGCTTGGTTACATCTTCTAAAAGTTGGTTTAAAATAAAATAATAGTATTGGTAACTACATAAGTTTTTCAATATATTCTTTTCTTAAATGTGCAAACTTTTCTTTTTATGGGACACATTTTTAACCAACGCAAAGTCCCAAACTAAGCAAAGCTTGTTCTATGGGTACTAGATAACTGATAAACATACTTAAACATACTTTTTTTTCTTTCGTAAATAAATTAATATTATACATATATAAACACCCAGACACTAGAAGAACACTATAACACCGTTCCTCATACAATATTTTTCCAGTAGTGTGGATCGAACCCACACCCTCTGGCGCAGGAGGTAGGTACACTACCCACAACGCCATTCCGGTCGTCACTTTATGTACGTGAATATAAATCTTTAATAACACATCTCATCACATAATAATAAATCTTTAATAACACGTCGCTGATATGATCCTTTGTGCGCATGTAAAAGTATTAAAAAAGATCAGAGCTACACGTCGCGATCGCTTGAATGTACCGAGATTTTACGATTTTCCATTTTAAATGTGAGCATTGCCGTACACTCCCTTTCAGGCATATCGTAAGCTGGAATTATACTCTTTGTGAACCGCGTGAATCTGTTCCGACACATCCCTGGCACAACGAAAGTAAAGTAACAGCCTATACATACCCACTGCTGGATGAAAGGCTCTTCTGTACAGAAGGTATCAGTGTCATGATGAGATGAACATGATGATTCTAGTACCCATAGTACAACCGTTGCTTAGTTTGGGGATAAGTATTTCGGACACA